TCAAAATCTTTTATTTTTCTTAAAAACAAGGAGTTCTTAAATCTATTTTTAAGATTGAAAAACTTGTTTGGTATGCAACTTGAAAATTGTTTTCAAATCTTAAAAATTTGAGAACTTGTGGATTGTTAAAAAAAAATTGAAAAAAACAGATATTTTTTGTTTTTAATAATTGGGGTGTTTTTAGTTGTTCTTGAGTTTGAGTTTTTAAAAATAGGGCTACCAAACAAGTTTCTTTCTTTTTGACTCAAATTCTGTTTTTGAGTTTAAAAAGTTGGATTTAAGTTGAATACCAAACAGGCCCTTAGTAACTTAGATAGAAACAAGTATGATGTAAAGACAAATTTAGTCATATTGATATTAGGGGTAAAAACAAAACTTCTACAATTTTTTAGCTTTTTCAGATGAGTAACATTATTAAATAGAAACGAGTATGTAACTTTACAACTTATTTTTCATGACAATGACCTCTTTTAGCGGAAATGATTTATTTCAGGCTAGAAGCTTATAATTACAGACATAAAGTTTAGAGTTCTACACCTATTTATGATGAAGGGATCCTAGTCGGCCTTTTAGATTCACAAAAATTAATTTGGAATCCTTTGATAGATAGAGAAAAGGGTTGTAAATGGTGTGTCAAAGCATGGTGTAAAGAAGAATATATAATGTATACATGAGTTAAAGACTGAAACTTAGAGCATTCCACTCAATGCGACCAAGTAGTGTTTCCAAAAGTAACGGAGGAGTATATGAACAAGATGCTCCGGTTGAGTACATGAACAAGATGCTAAATGTCAAAATCTGTTAAAATTAGGCACACGATTGATCAAGTTGCAAGTATTTTGGCTCTGGGAATCATGTATTGCCACAGGTAAGCATGAAAGAGGCTATGTCAATGAGTTTCTGGGGTTGTTCTTGCCTTTTCTTCCTACTTCCTACTTGGTTCTGATACCTAGTTATTAGTCCAGACATATGTAGTGTTAAAAACATGCAGACACATTTGTTTATGTACAAATATGGACACTTGTTGCTTCGTGAAATATAATTTCTTGGATTTCATAAGTTCAGCTGCATGTAGGCTACGCGTCCGTCTTCTTACATGTAATTAAGCTTCATGTTTATTTATCAACAATGGCACTTGGTACATAAATGATCATCAAATCAAATAGGGTAAAAGAAGAGAAGTCGGGGAGGGAAGAAGGGGGGCTTCAAGTTGTTGAACTAGGTTAACTTTTGGCAAGTCCTATTACATGTTAAGCACGTCGCTCATGAAATTTTATTCGTTTACAGTTGACAAGTTAAACCTATTTGCATGCAGCAATTGAAGCATGAATCGACTGCTATGGCCAAGAAGATAGAGAACCTAGAAGCTTCTCAACGGTTTATTGCTTAGTTTGATTCTTCTCCTGTACTTTTTTACTCATCTAACATTTCACTAGACAGGTCTTCCTAAACCCTGAATTTTGTATATCTCAGGAAGCTTTTGGGACATGGCTTGGACTCTTGCTCTGTCGAGGAGCTCCAAGAGATCACTGGCCAGCTGGAGCGAAGTGTACGCAAGATAAGAGAGAGAAAGGTATATATATTTCACCTGTTCACTTATTTCCTGCCATTTTTATCGGTTCAATGGGAGAGGAGAGGTTAAGTTAACTTGAAGTGATTTCCATTCCAGGCTCATTTATTTGCGGAGCAGATGGAGCAATTAAGGGCAAAGGTATTTATTTCAAGTGCAACAGACTAGTAATAGTAATTTGTACGTATAGCGCTCAAATTCTTGTTCACTGGTTCTAATTAACACCAATATCTTTATCTCTCTGAAATCAGGAGAGGCTCCTCTTAGAAGAGAATGCAAAGTTAAGTGAAGAGGTGAGCCTTTACATTACAGCTACCATCACCACCATGGTGCCTTTTGAGTTTTCTGGTTTTTGTCTTATATTTTTCTGCATATTATTATGATAGTTTGGTGCACAGCCGAGGCTGTTGCTGCAGCAGCAGCAGCTTTCAGTTGAAGAAAAAGGAGCTGTGAGCTACTGGAGTCTAAGTAGCCCGAGTTCTGAGGTGGAGACTGAATTGTTCATCGGACCGCCGGTAACGCGCTGTTGAGAGATCACAGCTGCCCAATAGTCTTCTACAGTCAACATCAGATATAATAATATTAATGCGCGTCAATCATCTATAGACAATGCCATCAAAATTACAAATAAACAAGAAAATAATGTAATATGGATCACGTATCTTTGATAGGACGTGCACTCAAATAATAAGGTCAAACAATAACAGATCTAGGAATTGATTTCCTCCGACTCCTTTTTTCACCCTGTATGTATATATTGCAAAATTTGACGTTGTAACATATTATATATAACTGTATTCAACTTCTTGACAATGATTTGGCTACCCCCTAAAAAGAAAGAGGATTGGTTGGGTTGTATAAATTGGGCTGGCCCAAAAGCTAGTTGTAAAAATTCATTCAAATTGGGCTTCATGCATGATTGGAATTGCACTGAGGTTCTCTGTTTAATATTTACAGATCCATCCAAACCACAACGGAAAAGAACTTTTTTTCTGGGCTTAGATGAGTTTTTTTATTTCTTTTTTCTAATTTCATATCTTACATTACATAGGTCGAATTTCGTAGAGGAAATTTGGGTATCTCTCTCTCCGTCTTAATAATGATTGCCTGCTGCAACATGATTCAGGCATGCACAAAAATAAAAAAAAGGAATGGGACCTCTTTCTATAAGTCACTGTCACAGTAGGTTTCTCCTTGTTTTCCCATCTTCAATAATTAGCTGCTTCTTTTTTTGTTTTGTCCGTCTATATGGAATATGTCCAAACAACCCTATAGAAAAGTCCCTACTACTCTTTCCAGCTACCCTGTCCAGCTCTAAGCCCACCATCACCAGTTCATCAGTCACCAGTCGCTCCTCTCTGTCTAACCATATAGACATAGTTGATAATCATATGGCCTAGCTAGCTAGGCACTGAATTTGGTTTTTCCTCTTTTTTATGAGTTAAATGTGACAGGCAGGGACTGAGTTGTTTTATTATATTTGTGGATTCCCGGGAAGAGGACCACTTTGAATTTGAAATAGCTCTCTCTCTCTCTCTCTCTCTCTCTCTCTGATGGATTCTATATAGAATTTAGAGCAAATGTAAGTCGTCAGGAATATGATGTAGGAGAGGAATCTACCAAGTTTTGAGCAAAATCTGAATCAGATGACCTCACCCCTTTATCAGATACTCTTACAAAATTTAGATAGGATAAGGTAATATCCATAATCTTTATTAAAAAAATTACTTTTCCCACTACCTACTAAATATACTATATCATTGTGCTAATCATGTTACCATCAGCATGTGAGCCTGAAATTGGTCGAAACCCATTTCTTAAACACAATTGTCATTGATACTAGTGTAATTTTATTATTGTTAAACACCATAACCAAAAAAAAAAAAGTCAATATAAATCACTGCACTTATATAGAGAGCTCAAATACATTGGAGCGATGCTTTAAATAAACTTATGTAAGTATTTCCTGCGATTTTAGGAGCCGCATGAATTAACTTCATTTTTAACTTTGATGATAACATTGTAAATCTTTGTAGAATTCTGATAATTGGGTAGGACCAATATATATATATATGATTTATTTTTATTTTTCTCTTGAAACATAAAATTAACTTGAATAATTTCAGTACGTAAAAAAGCCAGGTGTCATGTCAAGGAAAGAATAGAAGCATTTTAGGTTTAAGCCATGCTTGTGGTCCCCGAAATACATCTCAGAAAGCGCTCTGGCCAGTCACCGAAAAATCTGAGTCAAGTGGGATTTCTATGCACAGTTTTTGGGGTCCATATGCATGGCATGATGGCAGCCATTGCCATATGGTTTGGTTTCATCTGTCCAATTGTCCTCCACTGCCCTTCCCATGTCGGGTGAGATTTCTCTGTTCACGCAGTGACTGAGTGGCTGAGTGGCTATGGCAACAACAGTATCACAGTGCATGATTTTAATTTCAAATTTGGGTCGTTTTACAATATATATATAGGCTCTGCTGCGTACTTGTTGTGTATACAAACAAACCAAACTTAGCAATCGTACGTATAAAAAAAAAAGAAAAAAGTAAAGACTGGCCAACAACCTTCATATCATTAATTAGTCTGTTAATTATGAATTTCATACATGCAAATTAGGAAGGGAAATCAAAATCTTAAATGGATGTTTGTAAATCTCAATCCCTGTGTGTGAGAAAAGTAAATAAACAAAATTGGGATGCTTTATATGTAAATGTAATATACTGACAATCGTTGCAGTATTCATAATTATGTATAGCTTCAAACTTATGGAAATTAGTGTTCATGACTATTTACCCCTCCTGTGACAGAGAAGAGCACTGTTTAGGATTGTGTAAATAGTCTTCTGATCCATAATGGTATAATGTTTAACATATGTTATGTTATACAAGAATTTTCTGTCACAGGAGCCGTACATATATATTCCTGAAAAAATTGATGTGAACCTCTCCTGAATTCAAGTGGAGCTTATAATATTTATATTTTGTGATAAGAATATTATACGTACTACATTTTGTTAATATTGTGGTTTGATCCAAGAGAGGTATATAGGTTATGAAAATTTCAAAAAAATTGTTATAATTATTACTACTTGTGAAGGGAGGAGGAGGAGGAGGAGGAGGAGGAATGGTATGGTACTCAGTCATCAATTATTGAAATATCAATGACACATTTGAGTTTGACCCATTATGCTTATGATACACATTTGTACTGTCCTTGAGGCTTGGGTTAAGTTAAGCCTATAACCATGGTTAGTTGGCTATGGCTAGGCTAGCATCAGAGAGAGAATCAAACTATATAGTAACTGATGAAACTGAAAAATGTCATCTTTAAATAAATATTAGATGCTCGCAGATCCCCAATATACACCTCCTCGTCCTCGTATATCAAAAACCCATCAGGGGCTGTGCTGTGTGGGAATCACTTTGACACTGCATCTACACTCAAATATATTATATATATATATAGCGAAAGAGAGTGCTAAAGAGGTGCGTGCTCATATCGTCATCTTTTTCATTTCTTTGCATATAAGTTGCATTTCCCAGAGAGAGAGAGAGGGCACAAGTAGTTGTTTTCTTGGTTTTGGTCTGGTAAAAGCTTGGGAGTGAGTGTTCAAAAAACAACACCAAGATAAAAAGAGATAAAAGGAGGCAGTGTGGGAGAGAGAGACAGAGATACCCGAAAACTCACACTGACCCCTTTGCAGTTTTTGCTATATACTTATTGATTTCCTCAAATCATATTGTAGCTCTCTCTCTCGCTCTCTCTCTCTCTCTCTGTGTTTATGCTTCATGGATCCGCTTTTAACGCTTCTTCATGAGATCACAGCATCCTCCCCAGTCCCCACAAGCTTTTCTGCTTTTCTTCCGTTCCAAACTCTCACAAACCATGACCAGTCCTAGTCTATTTCTCTCTCTGCAGCTGCTCTAAAGTCTTACTTAACACTACTGGCTGCTTGCTACCTTCTGTCCTTTTCACATTTCATTCCTGTTTTCCCATTGTTGGAGAAGCAAGCTTTTCATCCAGAGCCACCATCAATCTTTTTGGTTCTTGTTGAAAAAGCAAAGAGAGTTTTTTTTCCTTTTTCATCTTTTGATTTTCTAGTTATGGGCATGAGGGAGTGGTATTGGGGTTCTGGAAGATCCTCAACGAGAGGTAGAGGTGGAGGAGGAGGACCAGCTGAGAAAGACATGACCACCTCTTCTGGTTGCATGTGTGCTGTCTTTCAGCTCTTTGACTTCCATCAACTTCAGCTTGCCAACTTACACCACCCACAGCAACCCTCTTTCAACACTTTCCACCAAGAAGATCTCACTGTCCCCAAAGGTCCTCTCTCTCTCTCTCTCTCTCAATGTTTTCTTTTAAGAATATATATTTTTGAGTAATTAACAACGTAGTTTTGTGGAATTCATCAGGTGTTGAAGCACCTAGGAACAGCTTGGATTCATCAGAAGGGACTTCACTATCATCTACCACAAAAGAAGAAGAAAATTTAAATAGTCCAGTAAGTTTCATTACTACTAGTACCAATGCTGATATATATATATATATATATTTTATCTTTAATTTCTTTCCCCTTTTTGGTGTTTTTAAAAAGTAAGTAATGATGATATAATAATGATGGAACTGGGACCCTTTTGTGTTGTGCAGATTTTGAAATTCCAGATGGGTATGCAGATCAAAACAAGTGGAGGAGGAGGAGGCAGAACATCTTCAGCTGATTTTTCATCAGATATTAGCTCACCAGGAACAAAGACCCCAAATTTGGTAGCAAGGTTAATGGGTCTTGACCTTCTTCCTGATCAAATCCAATCACCCTCTTCCACTTCATCATGTAGTAGCACCGCCACTCATGCGACTTCAAAGTCAAAAGTTCGGACTCGGAAAGCCCTCCAAAGTAGACCAAGACGACATGTCGTGGATATGAGCGACGCTACTAATACTGCAGCAGTTGGTACTCGTTCACTGCCTGAGACTCCAAGAATCTCATCAGCCAGAAGATCAGACGTTGATCTTCATCACCGCCTTTCGCTTCAAATCAACAAAGAGAATGTTGGGGTGGGGGGTGGTGAGGAACTGGATTTTTGCAGGTCTTCATCTTACAAAAGGAGGGACCTAAAGCTGATTAATTTTGGAGATCATGAGAATGTTAAAAGCCCAAGCCACTATGCTAGGCAGATTGTGAAGCAGGTGAGAGAAAGTGTTAGCAGGAAAGTTGGTTTGGACATCACAAACACCACCAGACCAGTTAACAGAGACAAGCACGACAAAGATGAGCTCCTTCACCGGCTTAAATCCAAGAATGGTAATGCTGCTTCCAAGAGTTTAATCAGCAAGGAAGACAGTTCAGCTTCTTTCTCTCCCAGGCTCAGATTCTTGGAGCCCAAGACTACTACTACAACGCCTGCATCATTGACAGCCAAGGATCAAATTCAACTACTTCCTCCAAAACCCAAATCACCTCTCTCATCTTTACCTCCCAAGCCAAAGCCTGTGCAGCAGCCACTGAAAGAAGAAAAACAGCAGCAGCAGCAGAAAAGCCAGACATCAATTCAAAAGCGTAGAAAATCTGCTCATAAGCAACAGGAGGAAGCATTTGTTAGTCCATCAACAGCTACAAGAGCCATCCATAATAATATTCCAGCTGACAAGAAATGCAAGAAAACCCAATTATTGTCAAGCAACAATGTCCCTACCCTTCTTCCAATCAAGAAAGATCCTTCACCTCCAGCTACCAAAATCCCCCAAAAACAGGTACGTTTGTCAAATTTTTATTAATCTTAACTGGGTTGAAATTTAATCAAAGATCAAATATTCCAATGTCGCAAAATTATTCTTGGTAGCTAGCAAGCTAGAGTTCGTAGTACTTTGACCGTTTATATTATTCTCTCAACTCAAACTTATTATAATTATTGTTTTGTTGCAATGCGTTATGCAAAATAAAGCAGGCACAACAACAAGTATCTGAATCTGACGCCCAACAATCGAAACGTAGGTGGTCACAGTTATCTAGTTCCACGAGCCAAACGTACAAACAACAACAAGAGCAGCAGCAACTAAGCCGGAGGACCCCCCATGAGCTCGCCACCCGAGACATCATCAACATGCCTAACGGTGGCGCCACCAGTTCAGCCACCGCTGCCGGCTCTGCTGGTGGAGCAGCAGCAGAGGCAGAGCTGTTCCAGTACGTCACAAGAATATTAAGCCGTACTGGCATTGATAAAGACACCCAAGTTTCCTTCACCAACTGGTTCTCTCCGTTCCATCCACTAGACCCTTCCATTTTTCACCACCTTGAAAATTCTAACGTTGTTGATGTTACTGGTCAACTTGGTCAAAGGTGCAACAGGAAGTTAACGTTCCGTGTGGTGGATGAAATTTTGGTGGAAATTTTGAGGCCATATATCAACATGAAGCCATGGGTTGCAACTAGCTCAAATTATATTGGCATGTGGAATAATATGAATGGGTCAGAACTGGTTAACATTTTGTGCCACAAAATCCAGAGGTTTCCGTGTGCCGACTGTCAGGTTCTTGAAGACATTGACGATTTAATTGACAAGGACATGCCTGCAGAGTCGAAGGTGCAAAGTGAGATGGCGTTTGAGGAAGAAGGAGAAGGGATCGTTAGGGAGGTAGAGAAGGACATATTGGACACACTCATACATGAAACGGCTAGGGTCCTATGGTTTTGAATTTTTTTGATCAATTGCGTGCCAAAACGGCGCCGTAGGGTGCATGCAGAAATGGGTCAGAGAGTGGACTGGGGTCACATGGGTGGTTCACGTGATGAGATGCTATTGGTCCGGGGGGGTGGGGGTGACGTGGCAGATTGGGAGCTGTAAAAAAGTGGGGTGGGTGACACGTACGGGCTTGACAGCCCCGACAGCAGTGACAGAGGACCCTCAGGGAGCTCAGAGGATGGAATCCATTGCCTTCTCTCCAGCCTTTTGTAATTTGTAAATTTTTGCTCTCTCTTTTTTCAAAATTATTTGTATTATTCTTTGTTTATTATAAAAGTTCAACGTTATATATGTAAGTAAGTACATCTTGTTTTGTTCTGGTACGGATGTCTAATTTATCATGTAACCTATATATATATATATATACATATATACATATGGATAATATGGTCTACCACTACCACCCACTGTTGTATCCGTTATAGTTGCAGTTGCAGGTACCCTCCACCATTTCATTTTTTATAACACAATAATCAATGCCAATTTGTTACCATTTGGGATTGCGAAGAGGTATATGCCATGGAGAATCCTAAAGGATTTCGTTCTCGTAAATAAATAAATATATTGTCATGGGGGTCTGAGCTTTTTGCTGTGCTCCAAATTAGGTGGGTTTTCCTAACTAAAAAGATGGTTAAATTGCACAGCCAGTGGCAGTACATGAATGAACGTGGCTTCTGATTTCCTCAAAAGAAAAAGCTAATACACAAAAAGGTAAATTCTGAAAAAAGCCAACCTAAAAGTTGTGCATGCAATCAAACTTTTATGCATATATGCGTACGCATGCATGATGCATATATGATTGGAAACGTTTAAACAAGGAGGAACCACTCTCTCTCTCTCTCTCTCTCTCTTCTCTCTCTCTCTCTCTCTCTCTCTCTCTCTCTCTCTCTCTCTCTCTCGGGTAGCGGAAGACTGTATTAAAGAGGAGGAGGAGGAGGAGGATTAATTTGATAATAATGCAAAGCATACATCATCTCTGCTCTTATCGTCTTCTCTTTGTATTTTAAGCCTCACGTTATATATACTAGCTAGGGACAGTTAGGTCAAACAATCTATAGAGGAAGTTAAAAAAAAAAAGCGTTTTAGTTGCCATTTAATGTTTCCAATAATAATCTTGCAAAGAGCAAAAAAGCGTGGCAGCAGTGACTGACTAGTGAGCTAATAAAACGCTACAGATATAGAAAGAAACTGAGCGGGAAATTCAAATCGAATGCCATATTGCAAATGACATAATAAGATATATGCATGTGGGTTGGTGCATAATGGAGGGGAGGGTGGGGTTTAATTATTGGTGCTGATGACTGCAGAGAAATAGCAGGGTGGAGATCTGAGGGTTGACTGCATCCAATTAATGATGATTGAGGCGTTTGGGGTAAGAGCTGAAGCTACCTATAGCTTATGTATCTGTATTTTTCTAAGCTTCCCTCCCTTCCTTGAGATGTGTGATATATGAGTTTGGCACCTCTCAACATTAACTTTAACTTAAAGGGTATATGAAATTCATGAGGCTGGCGCGCGCGAGAGAGAGAGAGAGAGAGAGAGGGTTAATGGCTTGATCCACAAAATGCAGTACTTGTTTCATTCATGCTACCATAACGTATGTTTTTGTTGTGTAAGTATTTACTCATTTATATATACCACCAGAGAGAGAGATGAGAGAGGCAGAGCGATTTTGCTTGCTTTCACTCAAATGGGCTTATATAGAGAGAGATGAAATCGATCCATGTGCATTTCCCTCAGACGTGACAAGTTAGTGAAAGAGAAGAGAGCGGTGGCCAGTGAAAATGATGGAAACTTTGAGTTGGGTTTGCAGGTTCAAAATTTAAAGAGTTGCCTAACTTTCCCCAACATCTTAATGCAGAAATTAAATAAATAAATGGACAGGAGCACAGGGCTTGACCAACTACTGTCCTGAATTACTCCACTCACAGAGCATCTTCATGAAAGTTACTCTACTCAATCAATGTCATGATTATAATTGCATATATATCAGAGCCCATGAGACTAGTAGAGTAGTAGCCTTAGCATTAGCAGGTAGGTTAGGTAGGACCAAGGGGCTAGCCCACAAACAGCCAAGTGGTCCTTGTTGGTTTTGTTGTTAAATCAGCTTATTATTCTCAATCAATATAAAGTTTAATCTTGGATTTGTTTACCCACTTCTTTTAATTAAAGCTTGAGACATTTTAAGGAGGTGCACCAACTTATTGGACAAATGTTTAAATACAAGTAATGGTTTAAACTATAAGAGGAGAAAGGTTTTTCACACACACTACCAAAATGCAATGAGGGCTTGAACCTGATCGCTAGTGTGCAAGTCAATACCCGTTTTCACACAACTAGACCCGTTGGCAACTTATCCGATAATATTTCATTTGTTTCTATATGAGTTTACTCTCAACCTTATTTATTCACAGTAAATTAGAAATTATTGTATTAATTAATGACCACAACATGTGGGGAGTAGGTGTTTGTTTTTTCACTCATCTGCCCCAACAAAAAGCCCGGGGTCCATAGACGGCCTTTATTTTTGCCAAAAGGATCAAATAATGCAGAGACAAGATAAGACGTGATGGCACTAAAAAGACTTGCACCTACTTCACTTTTGTTATGTGAAAATGGGCTCTGGCAATAATTTTTTCAAATCACAACTCTTTCGTATCATATTTATTCATGAAGTTCAGCTGTACATGTACTGTTACGATTTTCCGTAATAACTCTCTCTCTCTCTCTCTCTCTCTCTCTGTATGTTCAATTCTGAGCGCTCAGGTTGGCTGGTTAGATAAAGATCTGCAGTGTGTGTGGAGTGGCAAGCGTAGCACTGTGTACCACCACTAGCAAGTAGCAACAAAATTACCTGCCATGTTAGTTAATATTTCGGTGTACCTTCCGAGTAATGGGCTAAAAAAATAACATACTTTTGGAATGTTAGACAATTCCACCAACCCTATACCCCATTGAAATTAGACACATAACCTAATTGCTTCTACATGAACATGATCATAATCATGTTATATAATTTGATAATGATGATGAACAATTAACTTCTTGCTTGATTTTTGCTTAGTAAGATTATATTGGTAAAATACACGGGTGGGTGGGAAGAAGCAATCAGAAGTCAGAAAGGTCGGCTTGCATTTCTCATACGAAATGCTAAATACAATTAAAGAATACAGGGGAAGAAAAATGGACGAAATCATATATTCCGTGATTGAGCAGAAGTAATGCTGCTACTTATCATCCATGAGCTTCCAGCACAGAGAGAACCCAGAATAGTGCTCCTAAGCATCAAACCCAGCACCTGTCCAGCCAGGCGCGGGAGATCCCCTGCCCTTGGGCACAGCTCCAATTCCCCTCCCTTTTCCTTGGAATTGACTTTTCTTCTTTAGTCTTCCTTCTCCCTCAGCAGAAGGCTGCTGATTGTGCCCATTTGTGACCGAAATATTTCCGCCGTTTCCTGGATTAGGGGTGTTTTCAGTGACTCTGCCCGATTCTGTTGATTGGGGAACTGTAGAAGCATCTGGTCCCGTGCCACTTTGAGCAACTCCCATTGATTTCCTATCCTAAACACAGTTCCAAGTTCAAGCTATTAGCATTTCTGTACAAATGATTATATAAATACATATATAAGCATTTGAGTGACCCAAATTGGTGCCAAGTATAAGATAACTATTTTTTTTTTGGACGAAATCTTGTTTCATTTAATAGAAGGTCAAACGCCATATTACATCAAAATGAACTCAAATAATTGAGTTCACACAAAATGCAATGCATACAGACATAGCCCACTACAAATAAAACTAACAAAATGCATAAAGTATAAGATAACTATGAATGTTCCCGAGGCACGTAATTGTTAAGGAAAAGAAGCAACTTGATTTGGCCCCTAAGGTAGGCATACCCCTGGGACTCAAACTTACAATGAAATATCCTAGATTCCTATATGGTATCTTTCAACTAACTCCTGCACTGCATAGTGCATACAGGAAATGCAATCTGTCTGACACCAACATGAAGCAAAAACAATTTCTTGGAAGATAATGAGAACAAAAATTTACAATATCCAAACTACACTGAAACATAACCTTTCCTTCATCTGATAAACACGCCTGATGCAGTACAACATTGCATACTTATGAATTACACACACACACACACACACACACACTATGACTAAACTTCATTACTATTACTGATTCTCAGACAACATGAAATTCACTCCAATCAATAACCATGATGACCATGCCATCTAGCCCATCCATGACGTTATAAATATGATCCTCAAATATGAAAAGATAACATACATAAAAAACAGAGGCCGATGATCTGCTTGGATTCAAAGCTTCAAGTCGTCTTTTTAACTCCTCTAGTCTTGTAAACTGAGAACTGCTGCTTTCTTGTACCTGTTAAACCAACAGTGTCAGAACCAATTTTTCAAGACTGTAACCTAAAGGATGCATTTAACAAAGATATGTACCAGTTGGTTTAAGTCTTCACACAGATTCTGCTTGATAGCTTCCTCATCCTTTACAAGCTGTACTGCTGCTTCCCACGCCTGAAATACATCAAAACAAATCAGACTGCATAGACAATAAAATTCATGCACTATTGGAAATGATTTGACGCATAACCACACTCAGCTGAGTGTATACAATCATCAAATCTCTATCCATTCGTTGCAGCTATGAGTTTTGTGATGAATCTGCATTCATGTGTCTTCATCCATCCCTGATAAAATGTGTATGGCTGGTGTAACTCTTAGCTTTTCAACTTTAACTCCACCACATCACCCAATTCAATCTTGCTTTATTATAATTAGACAAAAGCATACCAATTTTATTCAAAAACTTTGATCTTTAACTATACTAGGTCATCTTGCTCAAGTTGAATCAAATGTATAAATTTTCATGAGCATTTGGGAAACATGCAGGAGAGTTTTGTTCAATATTTGATGAATGTCAACCAGAGCATTACTATGTAAGGATGAAGGCAACTCTTTTCTATAATTAAAGGGAACGAACCTTTCGTGCTTGTTCTTCCTTCAGCTTGGCAGCATGAATTCTCTCTGTTGACATCTCTATTTTCTTCCTCAAATGTTCAAGAGCTTAAGAAGATGCACCATACACCGAAAGTAAAAGGAAAAATACGATTAATCAACTTTTAATATACATCAAGAGAAGAAAACTCATCAAACTGCAGAATATGAGTAACTAACAACGATAAGGAAACAACCTGATTTTTTTGGCCCAGCCGTGAGCTTCATCTCCATTGAAAGATTTGCCAACTCTCGCTCGACATCACGAATTTTAGTATAATTTTCTTGAATGTATCTGAAGCCATTCATCAGTTTCAAATCATAAATAATTAATCTTCCTGAATATGGGTAATTACAATACACTAATACAGCAATGCCCGTTGAAACAAATCCAAGAAACAAAAAGACATTTAAGGACCAAAAAAGATAGAACCAACAACTGAACTGATGATCCCGTATTCTAAATTAAAGCATTACATAATTCATGACTCGAACACAGGAGAACCAAAACCAGAGAAAGCTTCCAATTTTAAAAGTATGTTGACTTCCCACAGCTCTTGACCACAATTGTTCACATCCTCGAACCGATTACAAAACAGTTTTTCCATTGCCATTATTTCCAACTATTGAACTAAGCTAAAGAATCTCCCTTCAGTTTTGGTTTAACCCTAAACTTCTTGTTTTCCCGGATCCCTAATTCTCAAGCAAATTTCATTTCTAAGGAACCAATCACAGCATCAGCGAATCACTAAATGCAGAATGCAATGGCCATCTGATTCATTTCTGTCATAGATTGGAGCAATCATTCAAGTGTAATTACTGCATTAATGCTTCGACACACTATTCAAGCAATTAAAATTCCCTAAAATGATACATATAAATATTAGCGCATAGTAGAGTGAATAGAAATGTGTGTTCAAACGAAGCCTACTTACTTCCTTAATTGATTCTGTTCTTCCTCGATGACCTGCCACAAAACCGAAACAAAAACACATTCAACAAATCACGAAAAACAGAAAGAAAACAAAAAGAAGTAGAAGAAGAAAGGCGAAATAGAGAAACTGATATAGAGAGAGACCTTCTCAGTGTATGTAATGACAGAAGCCTCTCGAGCAAGGCCATCGGCTCCGATCTCAGGCAGCAGAGAAGGATTCGAATTCGAAGCCATTATGTTTCTTATTCGAATTTGAACCAGATGGCAACGGCTTCTGATTCAAACTCTCGAACATACAAAAACCCAACCCATTTTCTTTTCTTCCCTATATATTCGATTAGTGAATACGTCGTCTTCCTCCCCTCTCTCTTTTCTCTTTCCGCTCAAAAGAAACGTGATTATCCTTTTCTTAAATTTAGGAAAAACATGTATTTTGATGGAGACTAATTTTTTTTGTTACAATAATAAACTTTTCTTGAAATTAGTTATTTGAAAATGATTATAAAGTCTAATGGATTTAATTTGGTGGACTTTAATCGGGTTTCGGTCCGTTTCGACGTGCAGGTCAGTTACCGCGATATTATTTATAATGACTAAACTGCCCTTGTGAACTGGATCCCCCTCATCATGCACGGATTATTGGATCTTGTGGGCTATCATGGGCTGTGCCGATCGCACATGCAAACTTCGCGGTAAAAGTCCAACTGTTACGTATTTTGGTGCCAAAACTCCAACGAATTGTGTAAAACCACCGTTTTCAGTCATTATACTCTTTTAGTTTTATAAAATAAATACATTTTCTAGCACAAGACTTCGGGTGCATAAGTATCTATTTTCAATAGGTTGGGATCTAAAAAATTACGCATGAAGAAAAATCTAAAAAAATATAAAAAGTAAACAACTTGTTTTTTTTTTTAAAAGTTTCATTCACAAATGCAATTATGCTAACATTTTGGACTTGAAAATTTATTGGCTGGCAGTGGTTTATATTGATAAAACCACTACATCAGTGTACACTTTCAAAGCAGAGAGACACCCCCTGAGTGCTCAAGTGTAATAAAACAAGCCAGGGTGAGGCTAAAACGAAACTTTATAGTAGGGAGGTCCTCCAGGAGCAAAAAGCTCAAAGGTATTTCAGCAGGGTGAAATGAAACTCAAATTACACCAAGGTTGATGGAAGATACATGAATACACTGACTGACTGACTGACTGTCGTCTCTACTTTTTATCAGCAACCTGAGCTAAGCACCGAAGCACAGCTTCTCTTGTTGGCATTGCAGGAATGGCTCCTCTTTCTGTTACTGTGAGTGCACCACATGCATTAGCAAAGAGTAGAGCTTCTCGTAGCCCCTGCTCATTCTGCAAGTGAAATTTTATGGGTGAGTTTCAGATGCAGGAAATATATGAAAGTATTCAATGTGGGGATGATTTTCTCAATCCGTTGCAAGAACTTTATGTACCTGAAAAAGACTCAAGTCAGAAGCTATGCTGTTCAGTACCCCGCTGACAAATGCATCACCGGCACCAGTTGTATCAACAGGTTTAACTTTAACACCAGCAACCCGGCCCCGAAATTTCTGAGGAATATTGGTTGGTGTCAATTTTCTTATAACCAATCAATGTGATACAGAGAGTAAAGTGGAAAAAAGGTGAACCCCATTCCTATCGTTCCACAATTTTTTCTTATAACAAAAATATGAATGCCTCTTCACTACCAGATGAGCCATAACATGGTGTTGAGGCCACTGACTTTGTAAAGGGGCCAAGTTATGCCAACAATTGTTTTTCCAACAAAGAACAATGTGATGAAAAACTTTTACATTTCCTATCTTATACGGTGTGGAAAGAACAAAATGGCATGATTGTTCTCGAAATAACTCACTGAAGTCAGAAGTAACAAAGTTTAGTGAGCTTTTATCCAAGAGAGGAGAAAGACAATGAACATAGAAAAATAAAATAGATTTCACAAACTTACCTGAGTGTAATATCTGCAACCCTCTGATCCTTCAGTTACTACCAACAGTTTAAGGTTGGGATGAAAAAGCTTGGTTAACACAACATTATCATCATAAGGATCATCACCGCCAGTCAGGAAAGTGATTTCATCCTCACTTATCTGCAAGTTTGTATATAAGAAAAAACCTGATGAACACCAAGGCTACATATACAAACAGAAGACTTGCACCTATGCAACAGCTATACAGGAATTTTGTATCTTCAGGTATTATACCTTGATTATATCTGCTTGATCCCATATACTCATTATGCCCTTCCGTGCAGCCTCTTCTGATGGCCACAATGGCAATCTTAAATTTGGATCATAAGAAAGGATGCAACCAGACTTCTTGGCAATCCTCATCGCAGCAAGATGGGTTGACCTGCATGGTTCGTCAATCAAACTAATTGAACCATAATGGAAGATTCTTGCCTGCAGTCAATATCATCTGGATCAGTAAACTTCTGAAAAATGGGTAACCTTCATATATTTTATGCACAGTTTCCTAATTCAAATGAAAAAGAAAGGCACACCTGTTGAATGAGATTTATGTCGAGTTCTGATTCACGTAGAAGCATATCAGCACTTGGATTACGGAAAAACAGGAATTCACGCTCTCCATCAGCCCTGAGCGTAACAAATGCCAATGCAGTTCTTGCACTGGGATCAAATCGCAACCCAGAATTGTTAACATTGTTTTGCTTTAAAATGTCAGCCAACATGTAGCCAAATTCATCATCACCTACCTGTAATGCAAGTATGTATTAGGTTAAAACAAGGTCAAAATATCATACAGAAAAAACTCAGGCAGTTTTAAGATTATGCAATGGATGGAGCCACTAAAAACCACTAGGTTCCGTAAGAAGATAGGGTCCTTATTATACTGGAGAAAAGGCTAGTAGGATAACATATATATTAAAGAAAAAAAAATTCTGAGTGCAAAGATGTCAAATCTAAAGGTGGTCCCCTGAAACTGTGAGAAAACATCGTTTGAATTACACTTCTAGAGATTGTGAAATGGGGTATATACAAAGAGTTGAGAAAGATGCATACTTTGAACCATCTAATACTCAAAAAGACTCAATATACAGTTAACATAGGGTGTAGAGGGAGATTCAGTAAACAGGATGAAAGTGACATTCTATTTGTCATAGTTCTTACATTTACAACAAAAGGTGACTATAAAATCTTTCTCCATAACAGAGATCCCAGGAGAAAAGGTAAAAGCTAAAGGAAAACGTGATAAAACTAACTCAGACAGAAGCAAATTACAGAGGAGAGAAATACTCTAATGCACCTTGCCTATAAAACCTGATGAACCACCCAGTCTTGAGACGCCAACAGCCACATTAGCAGGAGCACCACCAGGAGCTTTTTTAAACGCAGGTGCTTCAGCAAGTGAAACTCCACCGACTGTGGGCACAAAGTCAATCAGCATTTCCCCAAAGCAAACAACCAGGGACTTGTCATCTTTCGACCCTCCTTTTGCATCTGAGGAAGGATCTTTAGAATCTTCACCCAGAACCAATTTTTTATCAAGGGCTGCAGTCACATAATTTGAGAATTACTAATCAAACAACAAAAAGGAAAAAAAATTGTCTTTCAACATACTATTTATCGGCCACCATGTTGCATATTTAGCTGTCCTGGTTTGGATATATGCTTAAGGTTAATTAATACCCAAAATTTCTTAATTTCGAGACATATATTGGGGAAAAGAATTAGCAGCTACAAGATAAAGCTATAAACTGCAACCAACTGGTTCAAAATCAAAATCAAAATCACACAGTTGCACCAAGAAAATACAGATGATGTGATTCGGCATGTTTAGTAAACCAAAAAGGTTCGTCTTTACAGAACAACTGTTTCCCAACTAATCTTCTACTGTTCATTCTGTAATTTTTCAAACAGCTTCAAGACAGTTCACAGATCAACAACCAAACTCATGTTCCGTATAAAGCGTAACATATAATGAATCCATATAAAAGCAAGAATTTTTTTTTCAAATATATTAAGATTCTGGATCAACTGCTGGGAAGCAGATATACCTGTGACATGATTTTTCACTTGAAAGAAAAGAATTTACGATTCAAGGTGTCTCAAAATTCGGTGCAGTGAACTTTGTAACAGAGATGCAATCAAACATTAGGAGAAAAAGATTCATTACTGCGAAAGGAAATTGAACAAAACAGAAACCCAATACAAAGAAAAGCCCAAGAAGAAAGAAATCTGAAATCTTTTCTTGCAAATAAGCAATCTTCAACTAACAAAACTAGCTCGAACCCAGATTATGAAAGTTCCAAATGAGATACTAAATGGAATCAAAATCCCAACTTTAATTAGGAGGCATATAATCAAAAAGCAGTGTACATGTGAAAAACAGGGAAATAAGTGGTAAACTAACCAGATGTGAGATTATTAGCCATTGTAGGAATGGAATTCAAGAGACTGAACTTTAACCAGAGAGCAGAGTATGCAACAAAAAATGGGGAGGGAGAGAGAGAGAGAAGGTTTGGTGTTGGTGGCTTGGTGAAGTGTAGTTGGTGGTGTTAATAAGGAGAAGGAAGCCAAAATAAAGGAAGTAGAGGCTTAATAGGAGGGTCAATTTGCGATCTTGAAGTCGTCTGAGATTGTCGAAGCTGTTATAAAAAGAAAAACAAACACATATGCAGCCATGGCAATCTCGCAATTTTATAACCCAGATCCTCAGCCTATTCTTACCTGTCTTAGCCTAAATCTTGCCTGTCTTTTCTGACCCATAAAATAAATAAAAATTATATTCCCTTTTCCTCCTGCTATTTTTCCTTATTTATTTATTTATAATTTTAAGTCGTCAGGTCTACGTGTAAAGCATTTTATATTGGGAGCATTTTTGCAAGTTTGTGTAGCCATAATATTTTATATTCAGTAAAATTTGTTGACTTTGTATGCCATTTCGTTGTAAATAAATGACTTTCTCACCACTTCAACTTAAGGTGTACATTTATCACTCTTCTCAATTCTTTAATGTAATTTATATATTATATAAAAACTATAGAATTTTTGTTTTTATATTAGGAAAAAATTAACTCCACTATTTTGATACAAGCACAAGAGATTTGTAGCGTAATTGGTAAGAATATGTACCCTTGCAATAAAGTCATATGTTCGATAATCATCTCCTTCATTATTGCTTGTGTAAAAAAAAAAAAAGGATTCACTATTATACTCAATATAGAGACCTAAATTATAAAAATACCTTATATGAAATAGACTTTAGAAACACACTCAAATTTTATTTACAACAAAACAAAGAAGCTTTTAACTTCTTATCAATTACAAAACTACCATGAATTTTTTAAAACAAGCCTAACCCCAAAACCTCATTAAAAAACCAAAAATACTCAATAGGGTATCAAAGTAATTTAATAATCAAACTTAAATTCAATAGGACCACCTGTCATCTTTTGGGTTTGTTTATAAAAATTCAATAGTGTAAGATTTATCTATATTATTAATGCTGAGAATGAGTATATGACTAAATACCTCTAAAAAAAAACTATAATATTTTAGTATGGATTTGTCCTTGGGTCACCTTTGTCTTGAATGGTCCGAGTGGAGGAACTGTTTTTCCTAGAAAACTTTGCATCTTTATTTACAACACCTACAAACAACCAGGTGGTCGATTGTCCACACATTTTAAAGTAAATTGTTTCTGCTAAACAAAAATTATTTATTAATGAAAAGGAGACAAATTGAATTTCTTGTTTGTAAAATTATTTTAAAAAAATGGTTAGAAGCAGCATGCCGAGCGCAGCCGTTGGACATTTTTGGCCAGCATCCTTATGAGTGTGACTACTGGACTATGCAGCATCTTAAATTTGGAGTGTTTGGGTACTTTTATTGATTAAAAAGAAAATCCCTTAATTAGTTTATAATTGGTTGTGGGGACCACCTTTCAGATCAATAATAATAATTGGATTAAAATTTGAGACCAATATTAACGTCAAAACTTTAATTTACATGCTTAAAATAATAATTACAGAAAGAATCCAAATCCCAAATACAGTCAGCTTGGGGAACAAGCTTTTGTTTTTTTTCTTTTCTTTCCATGAAAGCTACATGCATACACAATCCCAGCAATTAGCAATAATATCAAAATAAACACACAATACTGTTGGCTTTTTATATATCGTATAAAACACCATGCTCAGCCCATCATATCGTAACATGCTCAGGGCTCCCATCCTCTCAACGGAACTGCACATTGACCAAACGTTAATTACCAAAACAGATTAATTAAAACACCATCAAATTTTTTGTTTTCTCCTTATCAGCTATTATCCGCATCTCATTATATTATGTGCACATGACCAATTTTATGCTGTTTGATGGGTTTTTAATGTTGTAAAAATGTTCCAACAGAAGAAGAAGAAAAAAGTTGTAAAAATGTAAACGTTATGAAACGGACCCTTAAAATAGAGAGATTCTAAATAAAGAAGTTTGTAGCTTACGTGGTTAAGAATAGTTATATCTGCACTGCACTTGTAATCTTGTGTTTGAATTTCCTCCCTCTCCTGAATATTTGTGTTGTCAAAAGAAATGAAACCGAAAAATAGAATGTAAATAGATATAGATAGGTGGGAAGGAATTTCGTTTGTGGATGGATGTCGATATCGGCGGTGGTCTACCAATGAAAATCCAAAGCACAATCCTCGTGGCAGCATGCATGCCGTGGGGTCGAAAGCCAATACGGAACTTGGGAAAAAAGCAAATGCCGCCTCCCTAATTATCCTTTTGAAAACATTATAGCTCATAGCCTCAAAATGGGAATCCTTAGAAAAAGATTTTGGAACTTAATTATGCATTCATTGGAATAAAACAATGCACGATCAGCCATTTGAGAGATTAAATCAAGCAGCAGAACAGAACATATCCTTCATTATATATATATATATATATATATATTATTGTTTGGCTTTCTAAAATAAGAGAAAAACTTAGTTGTAATGGGGATAGCACTATTTTATTATTTTTGGCTAATAATACTATATCACGTGGAAGTGTTATCATGCATGTCATAGCGTTATTGGTCGGATATAGCAAAATAATGCTATCTCCCGTTTCATGAAAGTCTTTCTCCTAAAATAGCCATGGACAAATCTTTTGATTGCTAAATCATTCAAGTTATTTGGGAGGCAAAATTGAATGGAGTAAGTAAGCAACATATATTCCTTTTGAGAGATTATAGAATACTATGATAGTACGGTCACATGGTACATCTTGTACACGTGTTATAATATAAGTAAATATTTATAGATACTATTTCCTAAAAAGGGGGAAAATAAACTATGTTATCTACCGATATTATAACACATATACAAAATGTATCATGTGATCGAACTACCGTAGTATTAATTTCTTATTCAATAGCTATGTGTGTAATAAGTTCACCTTGGTGTTTTCAAGCCACACAAAATCCTCTAATATTACGGAAAGAACAAATTAATATGACATTAAATTTGCAGCTGCTCCCACCCCACACTACACCACCATGCTCCTCCTTTCAATTGATGTACCCCGGGCGACTGGTTGATATGGTCCATGTTTCGAAAACGAAAGTTCATAGCTAGTTAAGCTCATGTCGAGTACATATACGATGATTTCTTAGGGAAGTTGGGTAATAAAAAGATAATTTTTTGGGGGATAACAAAACAAAAGGAAAACAATTAACTAAAGTGGAAGAATGTTTCATTTTATGCATCAAAAGAACATGCAGCTAACTTATGTCTTCATTACTCTAAATTATTAATGTTTCAGTAATTAAACATGTCTTGAAAGTACTAGTTATGCAGGCAAATCAATCGCTTGCTTCGCTTGAACAATTTATACATACATATATATATAAAATGTGATCAACTTTTAAAGAAGCCAACCCCGCTGGTTGCAGTTACTCTTGCTCCCACCCACCATGGCCCTCCCTTGATCATCATCAGCTGCTTTTTCTTGGGGGGCTGGTTGGTGATCCCTGTTTTATGAATTGAAATTTTATATCCACAACCACATTTGTCAAATATTATTGTTGGTGAGAGCATATATATATATGAGAGGAAAAGGATATATGATCGAATGTTTACCATATCTGTAAGCGTAAGCTGGGATGCTCTGATTCAATGCGATTGTCTTTTGTAAGTGGAAGCTCTCCCGGACCTTGCAGTGTTGCTTGAGCATGCTCTTCTAACTCAAGCTGAAATTCCAAAATAGAAACGTGGAACATTGAAAATCATCGCATGGTGGGGCTCTGGGAATTCAATACTAATATTGTTAAAAGTACCTCGGATTTGAGCTGCTTATTTTCCTCTCTAAGATCGTTCTCCTGTCAATTCACACAGAAATTATTATATGATGTCAACTTAGAAGGGCAATAAATGAAGCGTAAAATTCCATCGAAACGCCCTTCTAAACATTAGGGAAATCAAACACATTGTATACCCTCGAGCATATCTATCTAGTACTCTTTAAGGAATCACATGTACAAAGTTATGGCCAAATTCCAAAAACAGATCAGAATGAGATGAAAATATGTATCTTAATTGAATGTAGCTTCAACTTCATTTGGTTCAGGATGGCGATATTCATACCTTTTGGCGCAGTTCTTCTAATCGATCATACATCATCTCCGTCTGCATGTATTATACGACAGCAAGAATGAATATTATACGAATCAATAATCATGGCAACGTTGTGATTATATTTATAGCTTAATCCAAGATAGAACAGAATCAATATGTGAAACATATTATGGTTGTGAATTTATATAGGTGGCACTTCATTTTGGCTCTATCATACTTATTGTTTCTTATTTTAGGGGAAAATTGGATAGTTTTTGCTAATGATCCTTATGCACGCTCAAATTCAGCTATCTGTACCCACTACTACATTTTTCACTTTGCGAGACGAAGAGAATTTCGTCGCGCAAAATACATTATAGTCGCACAAATTTTAGCGCGACAG